AGCACTATATAAAAATGTAGAAGATAATAAGGGAGGTATAATATTTATCTACTGTTAGATGTACACTTATAAAATTGGACTAAAGATAACTCGGACAGGAACAGGCTATATAATGCGTTTTATGGACAATTAATATACCAAGCTCATTAATCATCAACTAGCGACAATCATGATATCCCTTAATGCGTTCAATCCCAATTGTGTGTCTCTCCCTTGACGCATACATGTTCCCACATATGTATCATATTAACCGCGGTTGCCACTATGGGTGAAACCTTTGTCACGGGCGATAAGATACACGCGCCTTGCGTAAAGGAAGTACCAGAAGGAGGGAATGATTCTCATGTGTACAAATATGAATCGGCCAATAGATGAAAAATACAATTACAACATTATGTACACATATAGAAACTAACTAAGTGAGGTACAATACTTCGGTCATAAAAGCGACTTATAATATTTATCTATGATTATATGTATTGTCTTAAAATTGGACTAAAGATGTATAGTCTATAATATTTATATATTTTTAGTGTTGCTTTATGTTTACCTCTTTCTTTTTACATTTTTAGAAAAGTATCGTTTTATTAAAAAATCTAGAAAAAAAATATATATTTCTTTTAAATTTCATGAACCTATTTACATTTGATGGACTATATAATATGTTTTCGAACTCATTAAGACATTTTGTAGTCCGTGTATGTTTTAAACTTTTGCAAGACTTGCAAAAGACGAAAATATTTTTTAAAATTTATGAAAAAAATCATCTGCCTTTTGCTATAATCGGTGTACATTTTAATACAATGCAATTATTTTTAGAAACCATAAACTGTCTTTTTAACCCGCCAAAAAATATAATACATTTTTTAGGACAACTAGAAATTGTGATTAAAGCTAAAATTTGGGATTGAAATTAGTTGGACCGTGCTCGCTTAGCATTTATCTAGCGTTTGGCCCATTAGTCTCTTTACCCCTAGTAGTAATAATGTTAGTACCCTATGGCCCATGATTGAAGGGACTCTGTAACTGCTCCTATTGCATGTGATAGGGAACAACTAGTTGGAGGGTATAATCACACGGGGCATTTACCTCATGTCGCACGCTGGGCGCTTTATTTTCTTTTTTTGGTTTTACATTTTTATTTTTCATGTTTTTTTTATTTTTTGCCAAACACACGATCACATGATGAACATTTTATAAAACATTTTTAGAAATTATAGGAATATTCTTTTAAAATGTTTCAAATCTATTAATTAGAGCATTTTCAAAAAGAAAAAAAACAAAAGAGGAGGAAGATGACAAAACAATACAGAACGACAGATGCTCGTTCTCAGTCCAAGGTTGATAAAACCAGTACTAAGGTGTAGTGGGCCGGCCCTTGGGGATAGTTGTAGGCAAGTGGCTACTCCAATAAGTGGCACATATGCAGTGTGACAGTTGCTCAAAAAACATGTAGTGTGACACTTGTCATAATCTGGGAGTTGGGAGTGATCTTGCAAAGAGTACTTCTTAGTTAGTGATTTCGGGGTCCTCCTATTTGACGTGTTTAGCGTCAAATGGCCGTTGTTTCGCACAAGCCCGCTCTGATTGGGCCAGCCCATTCGTGACTCAACCGATACTACAGCAACTTGATTGCGGTACTGCAGCGACTTTACCGTAAATTGTGACTAAACTATTTTAGAGACTTGACTGGATACTATAGCGAGCACATTTCCTCAGTTGGTTTTTTATTTGATTTTAAGAAAAGTGAAATGTTTTTAAAAAAATTGAGAACATTTAAGCTAAAACGTGAAACAGTTTTTGAAAAATAGTCAACATTTTTTCCAAAAACGCTAACATTTTTAAAGTGTTTGTCAACATTTTCTAAAACCCAAAATTTTTATGAAACACAATATTTTTCAAAAGTACAAACATTATTTGAAATAATAATTACAATTAAAACATTATGTATAAATATAGAAGATTATAAGTGAGGTATAATATTTATCTAGCATCTGATGTATAGTTATAAAATTGGACTAAAGATGACTCCGACAAGAAGGGTCTACAAAAGCATTTTACGTACAACTCGTGTACCAAGCTCATTAATCACCAACTAGCGACAAAGACGATCTCCCTTAATACGCTGAAAACCTAAAACTCACTCATGTGTCTCTTATTGCACTCACATAAGTTCCCACACATATATCATATTAATTTCTCTCATGAACCGTTAGTGAGACTTGAAACATTTATCTGAGAAGATGAGACGCACGTCGCCTTGTATAATGGAAGTACCGAGATGGGGGGGAGGTATTCTCATGTGTACAAATTTAATCAGCAATCCAATAATAATTACAATCAAAGCACTATATAAAAATGTAGGAGATATTAAGTGAGGTATAATATTTATCTACTATTAGATGTACAGTTATAAAATTGGACTAAAGATAACTCGGACAGGAACAGGCTATATAATGCGTTTTATGGACAACTAATATACCAAGCTCATTAATCATCAACTAGCGACAATCATGATATCCCTTAATGCGCTCAATCCCAATTGTGTGTCTCCCCCTTGACGCATACATGTTCCCACATATGTATCATATTAACCGCAGTTGCACACTATGGGTGAAACCTTTGTCACGGGCGATAAGATACACGCGCCTTGCATAACGGAAATACCAGAAGGAGGGAATGATTCTCATGTGTACAAATATGAATCAGCCAGTAGATGAAAAATAAAATTACAGCATTATGTACACATATAGAAACTGACTAAGTCAGGTACAATACTTTGGTCATAAAAGCGGCTTATAATATTTATCTATGATTATATGTATTGTCTTAAAATTGGACTAAAGATGTATAGTCTTCAATATTTATATTTTGTTAGTGTTTCTTTATGTTTACCTCTTTCTTGTTTTTATTTTTAGAAATATATCATTTTATTAAAAATCTAGAAAAATACAAATATTTCTTTTAAATTTCACGAACCTATTTACATTTGATGGACCATATAATATGTTTTAAACCCATTAAGACATTTTGTTGTCCGTGTATATTTTAAAATTTTGCAAGACTTGCAAAAAACGTAAATATTTTTTCAAATTTATGAAAAAAAATCATCTTCCTTTTGCTTAAATCGGTGCACATTTTAATACAATGCAATTATTTTGAGAAACCATAAACTGTATTTTTAACCCGCCAAAAAATATACTACTTTTTTAGGACAACTAGAAATTGTGATGAAAGCTAAAATTTGGGATCAAAATTAGTTGGACCGTGCTCGTTTAGCTTTTATCTTGCGTTTGGCCCATTAGTCTGTTTACCCCTAGTAGTAGTAATGTTAGTACCCCATGGCCCATGATTGAAGGGGCTCTGTAACTGATCCTATTGCATGTGATAGGGAACAACTAGTTGGAGGGTGTAATCACACGGGGCATTTACCTCATGTCGCGCACTGAGCGCTTTATTTTCTTTTTTGGTTTTACTTTTTAATTTTCATGTTTTTTTTCAATTTTTCAATTTTAATTGTTTTTAATTTTTCTAGGTTTTCTTAGGTTTTTCTCTTCCTCAGTTTTTCGGGGGGATTTTGTCTGTCATGAGCGGGGAGCACATGTTTCTATATGCAGTGGCTACTCCAACAAGTGGAACATATGCAGTGTGACAGTTGCTAAAAAAACATGTAGTGTGACACTTGTCACAATCTGAGAGTTGGGAGTGATCTTGCAAAGAGTACTTCTTAATTAGTGCTTTCAGGGTCCTCCTATTTGACGTGTTTAGCGTCAAATGGCCGTTGTTTCGCACAAGCCCGCTCCGATTGGGCAGCCCATTCGCGACACAACGGTACTACAGTGACTTGACCAGGGTACTGCAGCGACTTTACCAAAAATTGTGACTAAACTATTTTAGCGACTTGACTGGATACTACAGCGAGCACATTTTCCCAGTTGGTTTTTTATTTGATTTTAAGAAAAGTGATTTTTTTTTAAAAATAGAACATTTAAGGTAAAACGTGAAACAGTTTTTGAAAAATAGTCAACATTTTTAAAGTGTTTGTGAACAATTTTAAAACCCAAACATTTTATGAAACACAATATTTTTCAAAAGTACAAACATTATTTGAAATTATTAAATATCACAAAAAAAGACCAACATTTTTTGAAAACATGAACATTTATGTAGGATACCTCCAAGACGTGCCCGGGTAAGGAGCGTGGATGGTGGTCGAAAAGGACGAGGTTGCAGAAGCTTGATGCGTGCCCTCTTCACATCAGACATAGAACCTTTTGCGAACCAACGTGTGATTGGATGGTTAGAGAGACAGTAGTATCCCCAACCCATCAGGGTTCAAGTCCTGGTGATCGCATTATTCCTGGATTTATTCAAGAATTTCCGGCGATGCACTTTCAGTGGGAGGAGACGTTCCCGTCGACGACAAGGCGCCTACGGTGACTTCGTAAATTTCAAGATGACATGCCGGCTCAGTCTCTCGGAGATGCTCACAGGGATAGGGAGTGCGTGTGTGCGTCATAGGAATGAGTGTATGCGCGTGTGTATGAGCGCTTGCGTCTGTACTTATGTTCAAAAAAAAAACAGATAACCTTTTTTTTTTGAGAAAACAAAAAAGACAGACCACCTGCCTGCACCACCATATCCCTCCCGCCCGGGTGGGCCGGCCGGGGTGGCCCGTACCACGCAGCACTCCAAGAAAACCGCGGCCGCACGACGCACAGAAACTCCACCGAAAGCGAAAGCTCCCTCCCGCCGATTGTTTGCATGCTAAAATCCATTTCTTGTTTCTTTTTCCGGAACCCACTCCTATCCATCTCCCTCCCATTGTTTTGGCACCGCCGCCGAACCCACCCTCCCGAAACCATGGGCCAACCCACCTACAAAACCCTCCTGCCCCCCATCCCCGCCGTCCCACACCACCATCACCACCACCACTTCACCGGACCGGAGCAAGAAGATAGACCTTCAGAGGAGGAAAGAAGGAAGCAAGGCCGACGACGATGCGGGCGAGCTGCAACGGCTGCCGGGTGCTGCGCAAGGGCTGCGCCGACGACTGCACCATCCGCCCCTGCCTGGCCTGGATCCGGAGCCCCGACGCGCAGGCCAACGCCACCGTCTTCCTCGCCAAGTTCTACGGCCGCGCGGGGCTCATCAACCTGCTCGCCGCCGCCCCCGACGACGCCCGGCGCCCGGCGCTCTTCCGCTCGCTGCTCTACGAGGCGTGCGGCCGCGCGGCCAGCCCCGTCTACGGCGCCTCCGGCCTCTTCTCGACCGGGAACTGGGAGGCCTGCCAGGCCGCCGTCCAGGCCGTGCTCGAGGGCCGCCGCATCCCCCAGGTCGCCGCCGACCAGGCCGCCCCGCACCCCGGCCTCCTGGCGGCCTACGGCGTCCGCCGTATCCCCAAGGACGGCATCGACCGCGCGTCCGCCGCGCTCCGCGTCTCGCCCGCTGGCCGCGCCAGCTTCAAGCGCGCGTCCTCCTCCTCCTCTTCGGCGGCCAGGTCCAAGCGCGACGGTGGCCACGAGGAGGCGTCGGCCGGCAGCAGCCACGACCACGGTGTTGAAGACGACGGCAAGGCGCTGGCAGCCGAGCAGAAGAGGGGACAGTCGTCGTCGTCGGAGGCCGAGGCGGGCTCGCACGTGAGCCAGGCAGAGCAGAGCGCGAGCGCCACTGTGCCGCAGGTGGCAGAGGACGACGGCGAAATTGATCTGGAGCTGACCCTCGGGTTCGGGCCGGCCACGCGCGTGCTGAGGTCGCCGCCGGCGCGCTTCGAGGCCAGCAGCTTGAGCGCCGAGTCCGGCCACATCGGCCTGCTGCTTGGGCTGCCGGTGTGAGACAAGAGAAGAGACCCGGCGACAGTGCCGTCCTTCGTACTGCTAGCTGAGAGAGAAGAGAGAGAGAGACAAAAATGGCAGTTTTTTTGGGATCATCGTTCGTGTCATACTGACACCTTTGGAATAGAGATATCGAAGAGAAGAATATTGTGTAGTGCCTATATAAAACCTGTACAAATTAAATTAAATCAAGAAACCTTTTTGTCTCTGCTGAGGGATTTGGTCAAGGGGATACATCTATTAATTAATTTCCAAAAATAAATGGATATATATGCGTGAGTACACCTTAGAGATACTTTTTTTTTTTGAGACAAACACCTTTGAGATACATGTACTTTTGGAGGTGGGTCGAAATTTCATGAGCTGACTACATGAGCGCACACGACGCATGACGGAACATAACCTTCACGCGCCTTTCACTGCCATTGACCGCACCACCGGAATAGGGACATAGCAGAAATTACCCTATTTCAACTCTAGGGCATGGATGCCTCACTACCACACAAAACCTAAAAAGGAAATGAGGCCCTCTTGCTGGTGATGGACCGGGATCCGCTGCACCTCCAGGGCTCATAGGACCATCGAAGGTGAGGCGGGCCGTGAGTGACAACGGCGAGAAGCGAGGGTGGCCGGATGTGAGGAGACATGATTCTTTTACAAGATGGGGGAGATTTGTATAGGGAAAAATCATTCTCTCAAGTTGCAGAAAAAAGTATATTTTTTTAGGGGTAGGAAAAGTTCACTTTTTTTTAGAAAGAAAAGGTTGGCTATGATTGGAAAATTGGGAATGAGATCAATGTGTTGGGTCTGCCCAACTAAAATGAGCCGGAAAGACATGGGAGGAGGACACAAACATCATAAGTCCTACGATGGAGTTGAGTTGTATCTCGTTGAGTTTCATCGAACAAAGATGGAACAAAAGAAGAAGAAAAAACACGATGCAATGACATCCCCTTTCTAGGACGTCGCTGCCTTGGACAAACACTAATTGCACCAGTACGTGTGCCCGACGGTTGACACCAACCTACAACTCGTTGGAACCCCTCCAAGGAAGGCCATCAACATGGAGAAAGCGAGCAACTATTATTCCCATCACCGCCATTGCCTCAACTTCACAGACACCAAAAATCTCAAGAACCCTGGACCAGACACACAAATGTAGGGTTCCCTTGCCATCCTGTTTGATGCATGACCAATGGAGGGTATAGAAACCCGCGGCAACGTTGGTGGGTTGAGGAGAAATGTTGGACTCCTCCTGGTCAACTCGTATCTTCTGAAACCTAAAAAACTAACTTTTATTTTATCAGAGGAACCATTACTGCTCAAGCGATATTTCAATTTTGATTGAATTCCATGTGAGGACTTCGGAAGGCAAGGGCACCAAAGCTGGGACAAAGACGAATTTGGTTGCACGTTGCAGAAATTGTGCCAACTTAAGATATACAATGGAAACCGTATGTAATTGATTGCACCTGTGAGCTATGGATGAGACCAAAATCATTTATCGGAGGTGATGATATGCCCGTTGCTTTGCGTGACCGAAATAACGAACACAGGAATGTTTCTCAGGTGTACAAATATGAATCGGCAATATTAGAAAAATTATATGTAAATATAGAAGAGTCTGTGCAGTATAATATTTATTCACATTTTATTAAAAATAAAAAAGTCTACTATTTCTTGTAATTTTCATGAACCTTTGTACATTCGATATAAATTCATGAACATTTTTTAGACCCTTGTACATGTCTTTAAAACCCATGAAACTCTTTTACAAATTCACATACATTTTTTAGTCCATATGTATTTAAAAAATGAAAAACTTTCAAAAAACATTAATAGTTTTTTAAGTATATGAATAAATAAATTTCATGTGCATTTTGCTTAAATTATGAATGTTTTTAAACACCTCAATTATTTTTAGAATTCATAAACCCTTTTTTGTAACCTGCAAAAAATATAGTCTGAGTATTAGAACAGCTAGAAATTGTGATGAAAGCTAAAATTAGAGAGAAAAATAAGTTGCAGCGTCCTCGCTGGGCTTTTCTCTAGCATTCGGCCCATTAGACTCGGCCTAGTAGTAATAATGTCAGTACCCCATGGCCCATGATTGTTGGGAAGCTGTGCAACTGCTATAATTGCATTTGAGTATATAGGGAGCAACTAGTTGGAGGGTGCAATCGCACGGGGAATTTTTCTCGTGTCACGCGTTGGGCGCTTCCTTCATCAGGTGTTTCTTTGATTTTATTTTATTTTATTATTTTTCATGGTGTTTTTGTTCTTTCGAGTTTTTATGGTTCTCAAATTTTTGGGGTTTTCTTATGTTTTTTCCGTTTCTCAATTTTTTTTCGGGTTCTTCTCTGCCACGAGCAGGGAGTACATGTTTGTTTTCATGTGAAGCATATTGGTGATTTTATTTTTCCTTTTTTCTTCTTCTTTTTATCCTTTTCTTTCTTAATTTGCGAACATCTTTCAAATTCGTGAACATCTTTTAAAGCTGTGAACATATTTTAAAATCATGATCTTTTTTGAAATTGCGAACATTTTGTAAACTCATGAACATTTAAAAAAAAATTGTGAACATGTTTTGAATTCGTGTTTTTTTTGAAATAGTGAGCATTGTGAAATATTGTGGTTCAAATATTGTGGAACATTCAGTTTTCAACCCAGGGTACTGCAGTGACTTGAAGGAATATTGCGTAGCCTTGACTTGGATAGTATAGAAAGCATTTTTTTTTCAGTCAGTCCTTTATTTAGTTTTAGAAAAGGTGAATATTTTTTTTAAAAAAATTGAGAACATGTTTTCTAAAAGGTGAAACTGCTTTTGAATTATTATTTTCAAAAATAGTAACTTTTAAAGTATTTGTGAACATTATTTAAAACACAATAATTTTATGAAGCACGATAATTTTTCTAACACAATTGTAATTATTAAATATTAAAAAAAGGATACCACCTTGACATGATTGGGTAAGTGACGTAAATTGTGGCCGAAAAGGTAGAGGTTGAAACCTAATGCATGAGCTCTTCATGCCAGACAGACAACCTGCCTGTCTTCACGATATCCCTCCCTCCCGGATTGGCCGGGATGTCCCCTACCATACAACGCGCACACAGCACTCCAAGAAAACCGCGGCGGCACCCGGGAAGGATACTCCACCGAAAGCTCCCTCCCGCCTATTGTTTCTCAGCTAAAATCCATTTCTTTCAGAAAATTCAATTCGGTTGAAAACTGAATGCGGTAACTATGTTTTTCAAATACCTCATTCCTATCATAGAAGACCGGCACCTTTGGATGAGCCCGAACTCATTAGACCCGGTGAACAATAAGATAAAATAAAATAGCATGATTTTTTTTGAAAATTCCGATTATTTTGTGGTGCAATATGCTCAAATGCGTGATGCGTGATGTCTTTTTTGCCACTGACATAACACACATGAGCATTTTGAACCACAAAAAAACCAGATTTTTTTAAAGAAAAATTACTATTTAAGAAGATTTTACTGTTGCTCATATGAGAGAATAGCCGCATCCGTTTCTTTCTTTCTTCCTTTTGTGGAGCACAGCACCGGCATGATCGATCTCCCATAGTTTTGGCAGCGGCGCCGAACCCACCCTCCCAAAACCATGGGCCAACACACCTATAAAACCCTCCCGTCTCTCCGCCGTCCCACACCACCAGTTCACCGGAAGAAGAAGAAGATAGACACTGAACCACCTCGACCGATCGACCATGCGGGCGAGCTGCAACGGCTGCCGGGCGCTGCGCAAGGGCTGCGCCGACGACTGCACCATCCGCCCCTGCCTGGCCTGGATCCGGGGCGCCGACGCGCAGGCCAACGCCACCGTCTTCCTCGCCAAGTTCTACGGCCGCGCCGGGCTGCTCAACCTCCTCGCCGCCGGCACCGACCCCGCCCTCCGCCCGGCGCTCTTCCGCTCGCTGCTCTACGAGGCGTGCGGCCGGGTGGCCAACCCCGTCTACGGCGCCACCGGGCTCTTCACGACGGGCCAGTGGGAGGCGTGCCAGGACGCCGTCCAGGCCGTCTTCGAGGGCCGCCGCATCCCCGTCCGCTCCGGGGCCGTCAGGCATCCCGGCCTCGTGGCGGCGTACGACGTCCGCCGCCATGTCCCCAGGCCCAATGTCGTCCCTGCGCCTGCAAACGCCGCCGGCCCGCTCGCGCTCGGCGTCTCGCGCGCCATGTTCAAGCGCGCGTCCTCCTCTTCGACGGCCAAATCCAAGAGCCCCTCCGGCGCCGGGCGCGGCGAGCACGACGGTGACCTCGACCGCGTGCCCAGCCACGGCGAGTCGGCCGGCAGCCACGACCACGTCGAAGACGACGGCGTGGCAGTGGCAGTGGCAGCCAAGCAGGTGAGGGGAGAGTCCAGGGACGCCGAGGCTGAGGCGGCCTCGCACGTCAGCCAGGCAGAGCGGAACCCCCCAGTGCCGCAGCTGGCCCGGGAAGACGACGACGAAATTGGACTGGAGCTGACGCTCGGATTTGGGTCGTCAACGCGCGTGCTGAGGTCGCCGCCGGCGCGCTCCGACGCGGCCAGCAGCTCGAGCGCCGAGTGCGGCCACATCGGCCTGCTGCTTGACCTGCCGGTGTGAGAGAAGAGACGCGGCCACAGTGCCGTCCTTCGTACTGCTAGCTGAGAGAGAAGAGAGAAGAGAGGAGAGAGAGAGAGAGACAAAAATGGCAGTTTTTTTGGGATCAATATGAGTATTAGAGAAGAATAATGCAGTATCTGAAACCTGGAAATTTTCAAATTAAATTCAAGAAGTTTGTGTGTATGCTGAGTGCTTTGCTCTAGGGTATACATCAATGAAATCAATTAATTTTCAGAAAATAAATGACTATATCTGTCTTGTTTTGGTATTTGAAGACTATGCGTGAGGGGGAGTGAGCGATTGATCGTACTATTAAATACAACAAATGGTTCGATGCAAAAAAAAACAATACAACAAATGGCGTGTACACCTTATAGATACATGTACTTTTGTAGGTAGATCGAAACTTCATGGACCTCGACACACCGGCAGCGGCCGCACCTGCACACGCCGCAGGATCCAACTAGATCCGACGGAACATAACCTTCACGAGCCCTTCAACGGCACTAGTGGCACCACCCGAGCAGGGACAAAGTGGAAAAGGACCTTATTCCAACTCTAGGACGCGACCGTCTCTCGCCGCTCCGGAACAGACAC